TGCGGATAGAAGTGAGCCAGCGCCGTCTGCATGGAGAAGCGCTGCAATGTCCGTCAGTCGCATGCTTTGCCGTATACAGCCTTGAGGCCTTTTCATTCAGGGGCTTTTACGCATCCATCCCGTGGATGGTTGCGAAATCCATTTCGGACCACCGTTCAGAAACCCTCTGATGCTTCCCCAATGCCAAACAAACAATAACGTCCCATGGGTTCAAAGTGGTGCGAAAGGATTTCGTACATCTACAGTATTTGCTCGCTCTTCGACTCTCATGCGTTGTGGCTGCCAAACTCGTCCGGTTTAGGTTTAGGCGCAACGTGGGGTTGGCCCGCGAACTGCGGTCCTGCCATATGTGCTGCAGTTGTGTTCCCGTCACAAACCCGGTACATACCAAAAAGCAACACGAAGCACAGAATCCAAGCTAGACAAGGAAACACTAAAGTTAGTTCACGCCAAAGTTAACTAAAGAAATTCACACCAAGTTAAAACCAAAAAAATCCAAACGTCATCCCTGGCTTCCCTCTGGGCGTGCGCACTGCCACCACCAGGGGCCCTCGGCCGGCGCCGACGACCATGGCCTCAGGGCCAGCGGACACTTGTTGCTCGACGACCGAGCGGTCCATGGACTCGCGCTCTTTGCGGGGATCCGGATGCATTGTACACCTGAACATTGCCACTTGTAAATGGTGTTGTTTCCAACTTTACTTTGGTGTTGAAAAAGCAACATGTTTCAAATGGTTGCAAAATGGCGATCTTTTGAGGAGCCCTGTTTGAGGGGATCCCTTTTGGGGTAGATGTAGAGCAATACATTCTGTTGGAGGGTCTTCCTTGCCGAGGTCGGTCAAGTTTGTTAGCGGCACTTGAGGCGGACAAGTGTTTTTGAGGGGATGCGTTTTGGGGTGGATGTACTCACTTGCCCAACGGGCCGGGAAATCCAAGGTTAATTATCCTTTTGGGCCACTAAACATGGACCAAACATTACAAACCGAAAGGTAAAAAGGTCGGCTTGAAGCAACTGAGTGTAAGGAGCAACACAGTCTCTTGGAGTCCCCTTGGCGAGGTCCAACCGTTTCTTGCAACCGGTCAAGTTTGTTGGCGGCGCATTGACGCGTGTCAAATCGGCGAAAGCGGGCTGCAAACCTGGCTGTGAGATGCTACAAGGTGTGTTGCTTTGGAATCGAGGGATCCAAACAAGCAGCAGGAGTGTCACTTTCTTTGAACTTAAGCTTTCACTCGGTGGCTATCCCAAAAACTGCGGTTTTCCTTTGGCTTCCCTGTGCATTACCCCAAAAAGGATACCCTCAAAAGGAACACACACCCAACGTAGCACTGTTTCTTTGAGCCAATGAGCCAGGCTCACGTGACAAATGCACCAAGCGGCAATCACGACATGTGGCAAGGAGAAAAGACTCAGGAACGAAGCCTTGCCGCAAACAAAACCACGAGAGCGGGGAACGCCTGAACAAACGCCATGAGGTCTATAGTCAGAAAAAGCTCCGGCGAGGCCCCGGCTCGGTCCGTGTTGAAGGCCGAAGAAATACAGAAGCCGCCAACCAGCTCAAGGTTGGCAACCAGCTCAAATTGGCCATAAAATGACATGAACAAATCCGAGCACTTGCCCAGAATGAGAATCCGCCGAGGATTTCAGCCGTCTCATTCAATCGCATAGTATTGACAGCCTTTTATGTTCAACCTAAGCGTCAATGAAGCCAGCTGCTGTCTGGCGAGGCCATCATTCTATGAGCCAAGGCTCTGCACTCGCTCTCAAAACATGAACCGCTATTATGATCAACGTTCTTCTAGTTCATGCTTATTTATTGTTATTCTATGTATTTACTATTACTTAAAAAAAAAAAAAAAAAAAAAAAAAAAAAAAACGCGCTTGGCATTTTACTTCCCATTGGCCCGGCCCTGGCGCAAGTCTTCCCCGTCCTCGGCGACTCCGCTCCGATCGCTTCCGGGGCGCCCGCGACCAGCCTGGTCTTGCCGGCCGCCAGCTTGTCCTGAAGCGGGGAGGTGAAAAAATCCTCCCGGCCGAAGGGTCCCCAAAAAGGTCCCATGTGGGCCATGGCCATGGCTCAGGAGCATCCACCTTTGTGTGTGTGTGTGTGTGCTTTTTTTGGGTCCCTATGGTGGACATCATTTTGGGGGGTGTTTGGGCATGAAACTTTAGGGACCTGATAAAACATCGAATTTTGGTGGGGGGTATGTCCACCAACCACTTTCCGAGAAGCTCCATATTTAAACTCGTGTTCGTTTGGCGGGGCACATCCGATCCCAAAGTGCAAGCCGCCTGAAGGTTTCTGCCTCATAGCTTTCGGCACCTGGGCTCACCTTGCCGAGTAGAGATTCCCGCTTCCTATTTGGAATAAATACGCAAAAGAACGACACCGCCCAACACCTGATCAGGTGGTGCAGTGGTGCCTGGCCCGAAATGAGCTTAGTCCGAACGGGGCGAAGCCAAATCTTCGAGGGTTTAGACCTGCGCCTGCACCCTGAACGGTTAAGCTATGTAATAGGTTTGCACGGAGACACGACAAGATTTCGGGACCTGTTGCTTCCCTAGACCAAGTTCAGCTATGCTACATGGGTGTTGCTCAAATTGATGTACCAAAATGGCACGTTGGTAAATGGAGCCAAAGACTAAAGCCTGCGTAACCCTAGCTCTTTAATCTTGAGCCACACCCACATGACCCAAGCGACCACCAGCTTTTGCTTGTTTTTGAAACAAAGTCGCAAAAATGCGGGGGTAGCTTGGAGTAGTGTGAACCCCCCCCCCGCCCGTCCTCAAAGCCTTAGCCATTGGTGCTGGAAGCAACATCTCCCACATGGTGGGGATTCATGTCCACCAGAGTCATGCTCAAAACCGATCGGTATGAACATGATCTACCCACAAGATTCTCCCTACCCCTTCACACCAGCCACCTGGAGGTGGGTTCCAGCTCCTAAAAAAGCCATCGGGCCATGGGTCAAAATCTCGTACCCCCAGTGAACATCCCAATCCAACCACTAAAATAGGCTCTAAAATGGGTGGTGAATTCACCAACCCCAAAATGGGATCCAAAACGGTTTTGACCCACAGCCACCAAAACGGCAGGGGTGGCTCGCCAGCCTCCGGGGTCCAGCTCCTAAAGTTGCCAGCCATCTGGCTGTGGGTCCAAAAATGCGTGAAACCCCAAAATGGGTTGCCCCGGCAATGGAACCAAAGACCAAAACCTGCGGTCCGATTCCTGGCGGTTTTATTTTGACTCATACCCCATCGGGTGGGTCAAAATGAAACCACCATGGGACCACAGGTTTAATCCATGCTTCCATTTACCAGGGTTCGTTCCCCTTTTGGGGTTACCCTATGTTTGACCCATTCCCATCTGCATCCAAGCAAAAAACGGCAGGGAGAAGTTCCCCCTGACCGTCTGACCGTCCTGCATGCATCTGTGGATCGCCTCCTCGTACTGCACGTACCTGGCGCGTGGTTCCAATGGCTCCAGCACACGGCGGCCTCGACGAGGGACCCTTGACAGCAACTGGCCACATGGACTTGTTTAGGGAATGTAGGATTCTTCTTCACTGGGCTGTCCGTTTTTGTGAGATCCCCCGCGAAAAGTGAATAACTTGTAGTGGCTTAAATGGAAACTACCACTAAACACTAAAAGCCTAAAAACCGGATGGCTGGGAGCCACCAAATTCAGTGTGAGCTTTTCGCGGCGACTTGTTTTCCGTGTTTGAGGTTTCAACCAAATGGGTACCCTTAAAAACAGCGCGCACACACACACACTCCGGAATCAGAACAAAAGAGAATATGTAAGACTTGATCAACGAATAGCCACCGACTGGGTTGCCTGCGCCCCCCAATCTATGCCCAAACCTGAGCCTCAACCCTGCACAAAACCAGAAAGCCCCGCATCCTAAACCCTGTGACTTGCTTGCGCCATGTGAGTCTCTGCGGAAAAAGGTGATTGTTCTGAAAAATCCTGCTTACCTACTGCGATGTATCTCAGCTTCCCTCTAGTTGGTGCTTTGGATTGGTGGTTTGGATTGGTGGTTTGGTGGTTAGGGGAAATATCTGGATGGATCAACGAGGGTGCAAGGGCTGTGGGTCAAAGATAGGTACCCAACGTGGAACCCTGGTAAATGGAAACATGCACTAAACCCTGTGGTCCACTGGCGGTTTCATTTTGACCCACACCCAAAGAAAGAACGGCTTGGTCCTCTCTGTGTCCGGGCAACACAACCGAGCCGGGGCCCCACTTCACGGGATCCTTCTCGAAGGTCTCGTACCTGCGATCCGAAGGAGCGAATGATCCCGGGCGCGGATCGACAAAGGCGATCGGTGACAACCTCGGGGAAGCCCCAAAAAGGGCGGTGCTCCAATTAGACAACAACCCACAAAAAGGGGGGTGGGGGGAAAAGGAAAAAACACATGCACACACACACACACAGCGAAATGCCCAAACCCGCTCTCATCCCTTGAATCAAGCCACTGTCGGAGGTTGCCTGCCTGCCATACATCCATGACCTCTTTTAAAGCTCTCTTGTCGCAACGAGGTTGCAGGGTTTTCGACACTTCTTTCATGCTTCCTGGCTTTGGCTAGCTCAGTGCGGGGATCCTTGTTCAGGACATCCCCCGTTCCCAAAAACCGCCCCCAAGGCCATGCAAAGTGCTGCTTGTGGCCGAGGCCCGGACGTCTGAGACTCCAGGTTATCCTGCAAAGGTTGCAGAGGCGCCTGCAAGTAGTCATGGTACCTCAGGATCGGCAAAAGTCGTCAGAGGGGTGGAAAGGTCCATCTGTGTCTGGGATGGGACAACCGTTCCATTCGCTGTCTTCTGCAACTCTCTTTTTGAACTCGCTGCACGAATCCTCTGAGAGATGCCGATTGACGCCATGAAAACAGTATTGTACTGCCCAATCACCAAGAGTTGCGCACCTTGTGACATCGATCTCCCACGAGCGGAAAGCTTTAATTAAGGACACTCACGTTGTGCAGGTAATCTTTGGCACCCATTAGCGCACAGCTGCAAACTGTGAGTGTGCATCCAAGAAGCTGAACGCGTCATCGCTACCTTTCTCCCCGGGAGCCATTAGCTCCCGTACCCAATGGCCGAGAGGAATGTAGTTGCCATCAACGCGCACCTCCACGCCACCATCGGAAAGCTGCATGGCTACCCTCTTGCCGCTGAGCTTGTACTGCTTGTCTCTGATCCTCTCTAAGGTGTTGCCCTTCAGAATGCCTGGGCCCATCTCAGAAATCTGCTTCTCCAGCATCTTGTCAAGCTCATCATCAGCCGTTGACACGTAGTCGGAGTTGCTCGGCTCGGGCGGCACATCCACCTCCTTGGGAGGTTCTGGCCGTCGAGACAACTCCTCCAGTTGGCTCTCCAGCTGTGCCACGCGTTGTACCAAGGCCGCTTCGCGCGCTGCAAACTCGCTGACCTCTTGGCTACCTGAGTGCAACTCGCACGTTTTTTTTTGCGGTTTCCACGGGACGGCTTGGAGCGGTCCCGGTGGTTCCTGGGGGGATGTGAACCCGCTCAACTTGGGTGGTGCGACCAGGTCTTACGCTGTCCGAGCAACTAACCGTTACCCAATACCACCGCCTTTAAAGCAACATGTTTCAAATGGTTGCAAAATAAATTTCTTTCAAGGAGCCCTGTGCAAATTCTGCCAGAATTCCAAAAGTTGAATTGCATCTCCAAGGACCTTTGTCAGGGTGAGCTCCTTCTACCCCCAGCTCGCAATAGACAATAGGCAAATCCGATGGGGGTCCCTATTGGAAAGCACAAACAACACCAACTCAACTGCTTAAACCCAAGGTAATGTTAACCCCGGATTAATAAACCCCTGGTTGATTGATGGGGGGTGTTCCCTTTTAGTGGGGATTCAGACCACTTTTGGAGGGAGCACCCCCTTAAAAAATGGGACGGGTCTAAGAAATCCTGGGTCGACATTAAGGCTAACGGATCTTTTGCACCGCCCGACTCCTTAAACCCAATGTAAGGATCCCTATTGGAAAAGCACAAAAACAGCACCAACTCCCTAAACCCACGGATCTCTTCAGCCGAGGCTGCGCTGCAGAAACTTCTCCTGCTGCAGCTCCAAGTCTTTCCTGGCCTCCTCCGCCTCTTTCAGCCTCCGGGTCAGCTCGCTGCCGTGCATGGCTTCGCTGGCCTCCTCCCAGCCCAGTGGATTTCCATGCGGAAAAAAAACGGGCGCCCTTCTTTGGGCAGGGATCCGGATGCATTATACACCTGAACATTGCCTTGTAAATGGTGGCTTCCCTTTATATGGGTGGGAAAAGCCACATGTTTCAAATGGTGGCAAAATGGAGACCTTTTAAGGAGCCCTGAAGGGGGTTGCCCTTACCCAGGAGACAAAAGGAAGCAACCCACTGGGCCACCGAGTCCTCCAGGCGCAGCGCCTCGTTCGCCTCGACCTCGCGCCGCCTCACCTCCTCCGCCTCCGCAGCCTCCTCCCGCACCGCCTGGAGCTCCTCGGCCCGGCGCTGGAGCTGTTGGGCCAGGGCGGCCGACTCGCCCTCCGCGCGCTGCAGGTCCTCCACCTGGCTGTGGCTCAAAAAACCGGAATTCCAAAAAAGCTTGCGTAACCCCTCCTCTTTAATTTTGATTCTTTCCACGGATCCTTTTCAGAAAACCATCAGAACCCCAGGGGAAAGGCCTGGTTTTTTGAGGGAATCAACCCCTAGATTGGTCACAGTTTGGACCCCCCTGCAAAAAGTGAATCACTTTTTGGGGGGGGTTCTGCAAAAAGTGTTTATCACTTTTTAGGGGGTTCTGCAAAAAGTGTTTATAACTTTTTGTGGGTTTAGTTCGGAAAACCCGACTTGATTTCAACCAAAAAGTGAAAAAGTCCAAAACGATCAAAGAAAAGTGAAAGGTTTAGTTCGGAAAACCCGACTTGGATTCAACCAAAAAGTGAAAAAGTCCAAAAATATCCAAAAATATCCAAAAAGAGTGATGTTTAGTTCGGAAAACCCGACTTGATTTCAACCAAAAAGTGAAAAAGTCCAAAAAGATCAAACAACAACAAAAAGTGAAAGGTTTAGTTCGGAAAACCCGAATTGATTTCAACCAAAAAGTGAAAAAGTCCAAAAACCAAAAAAAAGTGAAAGGTTTAGTTCGGAAAACCCGACTTGATTTCAAACAAAAAGTGAAAAAGTACAAACATATCCAAACAAGTGAAAGGTCTAGTTCGGAAAACCCGACTTGATTTCAATCAAAAAAAACTGAAAGTCGAAAGGTCCGTTGCCCAATTTTGCAGTCGAGCAACCTTCGGTCGGCTTCTGTGGCCCTCGATGGCGTTCTCCAGCGCCAAGATCTCCAGATCTCGGCCGGCGAGGCGCGCGTTGAGGTCCTTCAGCCTCTCCGTGGCCTGCTTTGAACAGGAATCCTTACATCTGCTGCATCTCTGCTGCATCTCTGCTTCTGCGTGTCTACTGGAGCTACTGAGCCCTCATCTCCATCAACCACTTTTCAGGTGGTTCCAACTCTTAAAATTTACAGCCATCTTGCAGGGATCCTTACATTGCCTTGTACATGGTGGTTTCCCTTTATCTTGGTGGAAAAAGCAACCCCGGAAAATGACTCGAGAGGAGACCACTTAAATCATTTGGGTCCCACATGATCCTACTGTTTGCTCATTTGGGGGGGCTGCTTCACCCAAAACAAGGACCCAGGATTACCTGGCCATGAATCAACATCCAAATCGTACCCCCAGTGAACATCCGATTCAATCCAACCACTAAAATAGTTTCTAAAACGGGTGGTGAATTCACCAATCCCCCAAAATGAGATCCCATTGGAATTGAACCATGGCCGCTTCTTTGTTTGCATCGGGCCGAGAGCCGCAAAGCACCTCGTTCAGCCATCTTTGAACCCCGCCTTGGCGCTGCCGGCCGAGCTCTGCGCCCGCAGCTCCGAGCCCACCAAGCGCTCCAGCTCCACAGACAACATCAGGTCCTGCACTTCCTGCTCCTGCACCTTCTCCTTTAAGCGATTGCCCCTTTCCCCAACAACGAAAAGTAAAACTCGTTGCGGGTTCATATGTTCTCAAGAAGTGGAAGATCGGTTTTTTGTCCAAGCCAATGTTGAAAGTTGGTCTTGAAAGTCAAAAGTATGCTTTTTTTTTCTCAAGAAGTGGAAGATCGGTTTTTTGTCCAAGCCAATGTTGAAAGTTGGTCTTGAAAGTCAAAAGTATGTTTTTTTTCTCAAGAAGTGGAAGATCACTATTGTGGCCAATGAAAATGCAAGTCTCGGCGTGCTTGCGTTGCGAAGTCTGCATCAGGATTTCCATCTGTTGCCATTCCTCCTGCTCTGCGCACGCGGCTGCACGGTGTTGCAGCTGAAGAACTTCCGCCTGATGATGAAGCTCAGCCGTGTGCATATGATTCCTCAGATGGCTGTGGGTCAAAAATAGGTGCCCAAAATGGAACCCTGGTAAATGGAACCAAGGACTAAAACCTGCGGTCCCCTGGTGGTTTAATCTTGACCCATACCCAGATGCATGGGAAAAAAGGGGCATCCTTTCTTGGTTGGTTGACTTTAAAGGGGAACCCTTCCCAAAAAGAAGAAACAAGGGGCACCACTGGGCAACCGGGATTCTGCAGCTCCCGCCATTCCTGAGCGTGCTGAAGGTCCTTGTTCCGCAAAGCCACTTCCATCTCCAGCTGCTTGCACCGCTGCTCTGTTCGGCCAAGCTCTGTCTGGGCTTGGGTCGCATCTTCTCGCACGCGTGCCTGGCTCTGCAGCAGCTCTTGCTGTTTCTCATGCGCGAGCGCCAAAGCCTGCTCCAACCGCAACTCCTCTTTGTGTCTTGCCACTTTGGCCTCTTCCTGCGCCAATTGCGCGTCCTTGTCACGTGCAGTTGCCGGTTGCTCCAGTCGCTTTCCGCAATATTGGCAGAAGTGCCCGTCAGGTCCGGAAGACCGTCCGCAATGCTGACATCGCACCTCCGAGCCGGGGCGGTCTGATGGCGGAAGCGGTCCAGAGGATGAGCGGGAAACAAGCTTCGATGGAGGCCACTCTTGCCTGGACGCAGTGGTGGTCGTGCTGCTCAGTCTCTGCAAGCTTGGTGTGGCGGCCTCGTCGGCTTTGTGATTCATCTCGAATCCAAACCCAGCCTCGCGCAGGGTCCTGTCCTGCGCGTCTGCCTGCCAGGGTGTGAAAGTCCTGTGCGCCCCATCGGCCCGATGGCCAATCTTTGACAATGCATCCTGCACCGACTGAACCAGCATTGCCTCCTCTGCTTCCAGTACTTGGAGCGACGCTTCATCTAGATCCTGGCTGCCACTGTCACTGGACGAAAGTAGCAGGCCTTTCAGCTCCCGGATCTCTGCTTCCTGATCGCTCAGCATCTTTGCCACCTTCTGCTCGCGTTCCTTGAGGAAGTGGAGCTCCTGCTGTACCTCTGGCCGGCCAAGCGACTCCAAGCGGCGCATTCCTTCCAACTCCTTGCGCGGGCGCCAGCGCTTCCGCGGAGTTCCGGCCCTGGGCTCGGTCTGGGTCTGCGCATCACTGCAGCTCTCCGGGGAGCCTTGTGAGCGAGGTGTCGCCGTTGCCTTGTCCAGCTCTGGACACAAATCCTCACACTGGATGCGTCCTCGCTGCTCGCACTGCTTCCTAAGATTCTCGCCCACGTACCGGATGTCGAAAAGCCAGAGTCGAGGTGCCACCCCCAGGAGAACTCGCCGCAAATCAGCTTGGCTGGTCAGTGGCCCTTCCACATCGCAAAGCACTTGATGGCTTGCAGAGACCTGGAAGTGCTGTTCAATATCCTGGGTCAGCGTTCGAGTTAAAGTCCCGCCATGGACGCGCAGCATCTCATCCACATCAAACCAGCGATATGAGTTTCCGGCATAGTCCAAGCGCAACTCCCGCGGCATCGGTGCCTCAAGATCGACCTGTGCAACGATCAAAACGCATGGCGTGGCCACCTGAACCCGAAACCGAGCTCTCTCTGCGTTTATGCTGTTGTTTGTGTTTGTATTTGTGGTTGTGAGAGTGTCCGTCGGTGTGCTTGCGCATGGTTTTGAGGGTGTGAGTGCGTGTGTCCTTGTGAGTGTGTGTGTGCGTGTGTGTGGGTGGGTGGGTGGGTGGGTGGGTTGGGTGGGAGATTGTGTGTGTCTGTCTCTCTGTGCCTCTGTGTGCTTTTGCCTTTGTCTGCGCACTTGTGTGTGTGTGTGGGTGGGCCTGTACATGTTTATGACAGTGTGTCTGTGTTTGTGCTTGGCTCAGGCAACGCAGTCCAGTGGTTCCTTTCAACTACAAGCCTCCGTCTGCGAGAGCAACGCATCCGATCGATCAGCATCCAGGGCCTCCCCTCCATGCACTGACTCAGAGGTGAAGGCCCGCCCGCCAGTCGGCTGGGCCGGAGATGAAAGGCAAACGCCGCATTGACGGACCAACAGCCGACTAATCACGTAACGGACCGAGCAACCAAATCAAGAAACATCCATCGACCAACTCAAACAAATCCAACCAATCCGAAGACTCCTCCGACTAAGCAAAGAATGAAGCAGCCACAATTGGCAATCGAGCAGTCAAGGAAGTCTCAACAAAAAAAGAGAAGCGGCAGCCTTGAGAAGGATTTTTTGTGAACATATTGAAGGGCCTCAAAATTCAAGGGTGTGGGATCCCTCTTGAAACCACCATTTGGAATCGGTACTGCTGAGAATCTCACTTTCAACTCCAAACTTCACAATTCCAACACCTGATATAAGACTTGCCCCAGGACTTTATGTTTTTCAACCCTTCATGCCTCGCTACCTGGCGATTTCCTTGACTTGCTGGTGCTCAGCAGGGAATGAGAATGGGAATAACCCCTATTTACAAACAATCCCTTCTGCTTCCTTTAAGGGAAACCCACAAACCGGTTCATTCCCAAAACCCGGACTCTTTGTCATTCCCTGAACCCAGACTTCCATTTGCTTAAGCCACCTGGAAAACACGTGAAACAATGTCCAGCAGTGAATTCGATTCCCTTCAAAAACCAACCCGGGAACATCAACCATACTGCTTTTTGTCAGCTAATGGAAAGACATGAAAGACGAACCCTCCCAGAAAAAAAAAAAAAAAAAAACCTCCGAATCCGTTTGGCCCACCCTCCCCATGCGCTAAAAGCCACAAGCCGCGTGTCGCCGGCGCGCCGGCTCGATCCGGTGCCCTCGCTGGATCCTCGCAATTCTGAGATCCCCGGCGGCTGTTCGAACTGCTCCTGCGCCGTTGGCGCCGGTCTGGACTGGAACAGCCGCGCCACGTAGTGGAGGTACCTGGCGCCAGGCGAGCTTTCGAGCTCCAGGCGTTGGGGCAGGCAGGGGACCAAAAATCCGCTCCAGTAGGGAGGCTAGAATACGGGTACCAACTTGTTTTTTCCGGTTGTCTATTTTAGTAGGGGTAAGTCCAGGATACAAATGGCCGCAAGACCTGCGAGTTCCCCGGCAACCCTCCTCAGACTTATGGGCCCTTAGATCTTCCTCCTGGGTTTGGGGAACTTCCATGGCAGGCAAGGGCAGTGGTCGGTTTTCCAAAACAGCTTGTACCACCCGGCGGGTGGAAAGGATCCGCTCTCTGCCTTACGTTCCCATGGCCCCCAAAATCCGTGGGGCTTTCCCTTCAAGTTCAGCAGGCGGTTCCTTTAATACAAGCAGATCCAGGAGTTGGTACTGGAATAGAAGCTGATATAGGATATATAGGAACAAGTTGTGGAATATCTATTGCAACTGAAGATGGTGTGCCAACTCGGAGGGCTTGACATGCAGGGCGGCATCACCTGTTGCTCAGCTGCTGGGATGTCACACGAGCCTGCTTTGGGCTCTCAACGGAGAGCAGCTGATGCTTGGACTACTAGGCCCGACTAGGCAACTAGGCAGCCCGAAAACGACTGGGTTGCGCATGATGACCTGACTTGCCTTTCCGGTAACTTACGGAACCTGACATGCTTCACTCCGAGACATGCGAGAGGCATGCACTCAGCAGCCCAACGATCAGAAAAAAAAGGCACCACTCAGGGCGCTCATGCGGCAACAGAAGCACTGAATCCTGCCAGAGCTGCACATCCGTTGAGCTTAACATAGCTTGTCATGTCTGCTAACTACAAATAGAAAATGTTCAGTTTCTAGTCCATGAGGATTATCATATACATGTCATGTCAGAAGAGGCCCCAGACTTTGTCGGAACTACACAGGTCCCTATAGCTTATCCTGTTCAAACATCAACCCATCCAAAGGAGACTTGCTTTGCAGGGACTAAAAGGTGATGTTTGGGGTCTCTTCTTTGGTCGCGAGTACCCTGCTTACGATTGTTTCAAAGCGAAGCCAAAAGGAAACCACCCACTTTGGGTCCGAAGCCACCAGGGGAAAGCGCTGGGAACGAACTCAACGGACGCCGGGGCTCACTTCTCCGTTTCGGACTCGCTGGCTTTGCCCTCGGGCAGGCCCTGCAGGATGATCTGCACTTTGTTCCTGGCGCGCGTTGACTCTGTTTAAGTCAAACTCTTTGAGGGGATGGATGAAGAGCATCCAGAAACGTACCTGTTCTGGATGAAGAGGTCGTACTCAACAACCAAGACGTGATCCAGGAGAAAAATATGGTCCTGATGTCATTATGTGGTTTTCGGGATAACATGGGCCCCATATGACCTATGCATTCGATCGTTGTCTTCGTCCTGGCGCCGATTTGCCTTGCAAAAGCATTGGCAGTCCCTTGACAACCTGCTCGCGTCCGCATGAGGCAATCATGTGCTTCTCTTGGCTAAGCCAGCTGTGAATGTGGCTGCATTGAGAATACTACTGCCTGCAGCACCTGCACCAACCAAAGTAGCTGATGCTCGCCTTGCTTCAGAAGAGCACGAGCAAACCGCCCATCCAATCCGCCCATCTCGTACCTCTCCTTTTGAACGAAACTCCTCCATTTGGCTGTGGGTCAAAAAAGCGTGAAACCCCAAAATGGCTTGCCTTGGTAAATGGAACCAAGGACTAAAACCTGTGGTCCATATCCTGGTGCCTAATTTTGACCCACAGCCATGTCCAGCTCGGGCTTCATGTCTCACGACTGCCTGGCCCGCTTGGTGCCATTCGCCTCCAGGAGCTCCCGCATCTTCGGGTCCTTGGCCAAGTCCAGGGGGCTCTGTCCTTGACTGCTCGCGGGAAACGGATCTTTAGACTTTCACCTTTTTTGGGGTTGAAATCAAGTCGGGGTTTCCAACCTAAACCCGCAAAAAGTGATAAAAACCCACTTTTTGCAGAAAGCCCCCAACAAAAAGTGACAAACTCGCTTCTTGCCGGGGGCTCAACAGCAACCAAGTTTCCCTCGGGCGCCCGCAGAGTCGGATCCGCGCCCGCCGCCAGGAGCAAGCTCGCCACCTCGCGGAGCCCGCGTTCGGAGGCGGCGTGCAAGGCCGTGGGGAGCTCCTTTGAAGATGTGGCGGTGGCTCAAAAGGTTGCGGATTACGTGGTAACACCGCCGAATATATGGCAGTGGCTCAAAAAACCGGAATTCCAAAATGGTTTGCCCTGGTAAGTGGAAACATGGACAAAAACCTGCGGTTTGCCCCTCCTGTTTAATTTTGAGCCACACCCATATGACAGCGAAGCATCACCGGATTTGGTTCCCTCACCACCTGCAACATTTCACACATTTGGCCATGGGTCAAACTCCAAATCGTACCCCCAGCGAACATCAAATTGTCCCCACTAAAATAGGTTCTAAAATGGGCCAAAATGGTACCATTGGATTTGACCCACAGCCATGTTTGTGTTTCTGGGCTGTCCTCAGAGCCCCGCGAAAAGTGACTAACTTTTAGTGGGTTAAATGGAAATCCAACCACTAAACACTAAAAAGCCAAAAGGCTACTGGGAGCCACCAAGGTTTAAACCACTACTGATGGTTGCGAAATCCAAATCCATTTCACAGCGTTCAGAAACCCCGGTGGCTGATTCGAGTCCCCTGTAAATACCCAGAAGCAATGCAGGATTTTGTCCATCCACAGTAATTGTCCATGTTGGAGTTTCCCCTTTGAACTGGACCGGTTGAAAAACAACATCGCCCTCCCTGGCTCCTGGTAATTTGTGCTCTGCTGCAGATCGGCCCGAGCATCCAACAAGACCTGCACAGTGTCCGGATGATTGGCGGCAGCAGCAGCAAACAATGGGCCTTCACCGTCAACCGTGGCGTCATTAACGCTGCAACGATGTTCCAGGAGAAGACGGACAGTGTCGGTGTGTCCTCTCTTCGCTGCAAGAAACACTGCGGTGGCGTCACAATCCTGGATGGTTCGGTCGGTACGCTTCACGGTCAAATCGGCCCGGGCAGCAATGAGCTCTGCAACCACCTCCTTGTGCCCAAACCAAGATGTCTGCAGAATGGCCGTGGTTTGATCAAAACCTCAGAAGTCATGGAGAAAGAACATGTCTTGCTGATTCTTTTGCAGCAGACCCCCCCCCAAACAAAAAAAACACGCATGGACCCCAAATAGCGGAAGAAAAAAGAAGAAGAACAAAACACAGGCTGATGATTGCACACCAGCACCTCAAACAGCCCAAAGAACCCAGCCGTCAATCTCGCGAATCATCTCTTTCTTTCTCCTCTTTAGAAGTTAGAACCCCAATAGCTCTCAGCTGGGGGAAACAAATCAACAAACAAACGGAAGGCCAGATCGGGTGCCCGTGTTGGCCGAACAACACTGCGTGTTGGCACTGGCCCGTGCGCTCAAAAGCGTTCGCAGCAACTGCAGGTTCCCTTTGTGCGCCGCCGCGAAGATCGGGGGATAGCACTGGTGATACGCGGCGTTCACGTCGGCTCGTTGTCTCAGAAGCAGTTCCACAACATCCTGGTCCACTTGGGAAAAAAGAGACACCCAGTTTTTCTTTGTCTGTTCGTTGCGGAAAGAGTCCTCTTATAAATCCGAGCCAAAAGCTTTGGAAGGTGAAACTGGCGTGCCTCTGAAGGTAAAAAGAGGCAAACACTTCCTTCCTTCCCATTTTGCGGGCTCC